TAACGAAATTACTGTGATTACCTTCTCTATTTTCAGGTCAAGGTCTGGTTTCAGAATCGCCGAATGAAGTTCAAACGGATGCGAGGTGAGTCTTGTAGGTTCATTGTACTAACAGCCGCTTTGTAGTTTTGGGCCGATGCATCTGTTATCTTCCTAAGGAAATTTATGGCGAGGAACGTGATGTTTTTGGAAGGACAGAGTCAGGCACAGTTTCGAATCATTCCGGGATGACAACAGCCGGCAAGGTCTGTATCAGCTCTGATCCGATTAAATCATCGCGCCAGATTGCTGGTTCTGTTGAGTTAGGGAGAAGCAGAGGAATAGGGAAAAGGACTCAACTGGAGTCAATTCAAACCTATTGGTCCATATTCCGCCTCCGAACGTCTCAACCGTAAATGTTTTGACAACGCTGTCGCAGAAACTGCCCCAGCTATTCGATGCCTTTAAAGAAAGACAAAACAAAGTGTTCCACTCTCTTTGATAGGACTTCATTTCAACTAAGTCGTTTCATCTGTGTGCTGTTTTTGCAAGCTTCCACGATTCCAGGATGCGATGTGAGGAAACCATGTACATTCTGGTGTGTCGGTATTTGACGGTGAGTAGACCCATCTTCAAATATCACTGTCGGGTTTCTTGCATAAGATATCCACCTGATCGCCATGTTCTAAATTCTCTTTGATTGGCGAAAATGAGATTCATTTGAGTTTTTCGTTAACGCTGATGCCATTTGCAAACTGTGGGGAAATAATGGGACTACGCCTGCCTGATGAGACCCAAGAATCGCGAAGCGCTGGTGGGCCGTCCAGAAGTGTGTGTGTCATCCCTTGAAAATTTGCGTTTTCCTCTGGACGATCCCATTTGTTCACCGACGGCGTGGCGAAATTTGTTGTAAACCAATTTGTTGTATTCGATTGAACAACGGAGTACAGTTTGACATACAGACCACAGCAGGCCAAGCGTGCAAGCTTTCCGTATCTATCATTGTTTCTAGTTCGAACGTTTTGTTCAAACAATATGGGCCAAATGCATAATATATCATCAACTTCATTGAATAACGCAACTGAAGACAACGATGCTCTCTTTTGTGACTGGTTCTACACGAGGACGGTATTCAGTTATATTTCCGGTAAATTAGTCAAGCAACTTCTTGATACGCTATCCGCCATGCAGATTGGCGTTCGCTGTGCCACGAAAGGAACACTCAAACTGTGTTCACAGCCCCTGTCAAGATGGTGCACACCGAAGTAACAGGCAGTTTAGCTTGTCCCCAAGACGGCGCACTTCGGGGAGATTCTCTGTACGGCGTTTCGTGTGTCTTCATGTGCATTGCCATGACATTCGCGGCCCATATGCATGTTTAGACCAATACCACACAGTGATATTAGAGTTTTTAGCGTAGATGGGCTTGTACATATGTCTCACCAGTTTGTTGTCTAAGCGAGTTTCTTCTCCACAGCATCTTCCTCCGCAAATCGCGTTGACACGTTCTCATGTGTACACTTGGCCGAACGCTGAAGATGATGCGAGCAGGAGACACCAGAATAAAATTGCTCGAAAAGTTACGGAAAATGTAGACGAGTTCGGTTAATTGGTATTCCCATAAGAGTATCGTTTGGGATACCTTGGAACTAGTCAGTTACGGATGAGAGATGAACAACAAAACAGTCTTCGAAATCGGTCACTGACAAATCCAACTTGGGCAGAGTTCTGGCAACTCCACAGCCCAAGGATACCTCAGTTCAGAGAAAGCTGTTAGAGTGGAGTAGCTGATTCATCACAACATGTTCGATCGTCTTTGTTCTTTACGTCTTTACTTGTGAACCAACACATTCAGAGGTTATCAGGACGGAGACTGTAGCAAATTAGAGGATGTCCGTGTTGGATTCAAACCCGAGTTGCCAAATTGGTAGTCCAAACATTCGTCTATCTGGCTATCCGGGTTGCTGCGATCTTTTTTGATTCAGTTGAAAGGTGTGGGCCAAGAAAGTTCCAGGAACTTTGTGGTTAGTGAATATGAAAGCTGCGTATCCCTTGGAAACGCATTACTTTTAACCGAATACCCCCCATCTGTCAGCACCTGTTTTCCGAGATGTTCTGGTAGGGCCGAAAACCAGCTGACCGAAACCGATCATGTTTGATAATTTTCAGATCAGCACTAACCTGATGAATCCAGCTGATCTCGTCGTTCACTTTGTATCCAATGATAACCAAGGATAGGATGAATCCGGGAAACTACTTCTTGACTGACAAACTGACACGACTCATGAAACAATAAAGGCAAACAAAATTTGCTGAATCGGATACTAGTGTTGGAGTAATTCTAAGTGGTTTAGCGGTGACCTGGGCGCATTACATACGGACCACTGTTACGCAGTAAGCTATCACCCCACGGGTGTCATTTTCACCACACCAATCTTATTTGATCTGTACTTCGAGGTCATCAAACCTCGAAAAGCTATGTGGCAATCTGTTCACAAGCACCGAAAAACAGCTCGCAGATTCACAGCTCAAACCAATGCGCCCAGTTCTCATTTGCATAATTATCCTCTGTAAACTAAAGAAACAATGTGATTTGTGTGGTTGTATGACGTCAAAACAGATAGTTGAGTTCCTGGAATAATGTGGACTCATGAAAGAGTCATGCTATTGCTCACAGCAATGTCATCAACTGACCCTTCAAGGTTCGAAGTGACTTAACCTTTGCGTACGTCTGGAAGAACTGAGACAATTTTCTCTGTTAGCAAAACTGACTGAATAGCTTCAGTCTTGATTGGGCGATCTCAGGGTTTCGCAATAAACACTCGATATTCAATCGCATCGGTCAAAGCGTGCATCGCAGATTAGGCGACCAACACTGGAATCACTCACACCTATCGATTGACCTACAGGCCATATGCATTTTTCAACTTGGCGAAAAAAGTTATCACAGAGAATGGCTTAAAAAACGACCCTACTGCTCGGCGCACGCGGGCCGAATGTAGTCAGCTGATTTGTGAGATAACGATCGATACAAACAGAATCTCATCTTTTTGACGCAGCAAACTCTAATTCATGTATTGCATAAATAAACACGCACGGCAGTGTCCCAGCGAGATCGTGGGCGTGAACTGCAGTCAACTAAATACGAATTTCATTGCAGACACCACCGCAATGATCTTCCGCACCTACTGTGTGTGTGTATATCGACTGCACTTGTATTGGACTTGTTGAGTCGGCTGATGGCTGTTCTTACCAGAAGAGGTCAATACATCGAGACTAGGCTTGTCACTGGTAAGTCGAAGAATCATGGGAGAAGTCACAGGAAGAAAGTTATAAACTTGCACAACAAAAGGTCACAACATATTTGTATTAACCAGATTTGTCCGTCTACCGAATAGCTCGTCCATTTGGGGCATACTGAATATGACAAAACCATCAGGTTTTCAACTGGTATACTCTGTCAAAAATGGTGTAGAGCAATCGATCCTACGAATTACTAAAAATGTTCGGATGCATTTCTCCGCAATTTAGTTGTTGCGGTGACATAGTTCATAGAAACCTACTCGTTCAGACGAGGATTTGCGATAATTCAATCTGGCTTCGAAGAAGACGGGCATGTTCGGCTGTATAAGGATGGTTGAATTTCGAAAGGATAAACGAACAGGCGATGGTATTCGGCGTCGGAAAAGTTGTTGTGCAGAGGGTGGTCGGACAAGGAGAATATCCCAATTCTAAATTGGTGATTTGCTACTTTACCCCACATTTGATCTGCTCGTGTGAGTATTCCACTCAACGTCTTCCGTTGACTGGTGATGTATGATCGCCTTGTGCTCGAGACGTGTCAATGTCTACCGGTCATGCTGGAATTTACAGGCATGAGTTTCTATCTAGTTCTGTATTCGATAAATTATATCTAAGTCAGTACTTTTGAGCGCACACAGGCGTACTATTGATAAGAAAGTTGGTATCCATACTTGACTGTCAAGGTGAACACTTATCTGGACGACGTCGTTTGTGCATCCTTCAGAACAATTTGTAAACAGAGATCGTTAGGTACCTTAGTCGGGAATTTACATTTTTCACACAGATTATTGAAATCAGCTGTAATATTGTTTCATGTCTTAAAATTACGGTACGGTTGCTGTTGTTTTATTTGGTTGCCCACCCACTTCTGATTAAGAAGTCTAGCCAGAGTCTTTATCTAATTTTCTCACAGGGTTTTACTGCACTGAATCGGTAATGAAAGGCTATCCGTCGAACGCCATGGTTCATTCGGGCTTTTTCTAGGGGGAAAGTTTTTACAGTTTCTGTGGTTGTAAGCCATTTTACCGGGCCTCGATGTGGTACTAAAGAACACCAGGCTCATTCCAAAATGTCCTCAAATAGGCGCTTCACCCACAGCAGACGGCTCCTTGCAAGGGAGTAGGCATGTGCTCACGGTCAGCCAGTCTATCAGACCCAGTGTTTAGTTTGTCTGAACGAGACTGAGTAAACTTTGATGTTCGTGGTTGGTGATTAGACGTCTAGCGGGCGGTCTCGGTCGATTTCAGCAGCCTTGGCTTAATTTCACGTCATGAAGCGAGGTTTCATCGATTGTGATCGATTCGGTGAGTGAAAATCAATATAATTCTCCAACTTAACGTAATCGATTCGAAGTTCAAATACCTGAACGATTAGCCAGTAGTGCTGATCACGAATAAGAAAACATGCGAAATTCGTGGGCGGTGTTTCAACTTTCTTGTTTTTCACCACAATGATCCACTAATAACCCCATCTTTTCCCGTGGATTTTTACAGGAACATCCTTTCCAAAACAGTTCAACGACGGAACGCTATCGACTTCAGATGCGCGCCTATGCTGAACAGATTGGTCAACTGAACTGCGGTGCATTTACCGGTTCAATCAGAAGAAGCTAGAATGCAGCGAACCCGCCCCCCTCCCCACCACGATTTCTTGCCAATATTTATGTCCATAACCGATGAAAGCGTGCGAAACAAACTCATCATATGCAACTATAATATCTGCATTTTAATCGACATAGGTGGAAAAACACCACACCTGGTGCACAAGCGTGACCAAGCGTGTCCTATCGCTGGCAGCCAGGGCATGGCGAGTGAGGACTCGAACGTCCGCGTGGCATAATCGATAAGAAAAATATAAATAATCGGGTTCAGTAGAAAAGAAAGACACCAGTCGACCGGAGTCTCCGATAGCGCAATAAAGTATTGGCAAAATAGGTTATTGTTGTGCGATCCGGGTTGGTCAACGGCAAGTGTTGGTATCCGGGATGTGTGTGTGTGTGTGTGTGACGAAAGCCACGAAGTGTCCCACGACAACAACAGCAACAACAGCGAGTGAGTGGTACTCGAAGAAAGTCGAGAATAATTTAGCATTGTTAAAATTGTACGTCATAGCGGAGAGTGACAAATGTAACTGTTTGGCTGGCGTTACTGATCCAAAAGAAAGACAGATCTGAAAGTGGTTGAGGTTCCCATCTCTCAATGGATGGGAAAAAGCCAGCTGAGGGACACGGAAGATACGAAAAAAATCAATATCTGGTGGTCAGAACACATCAAAGCAACCTGATGAATTGGAGGAGGCGTATACAAGCATTTTTGAACATTGCACACAGCTAGTAGTTGATCTGAAAAGAGGGAATCCGAATTGATATTATACAATAATTGGGCTATTGGGTAAAACTTTCTGTGCGGAGAAGGCGGGGAACTGTGTACAACTTCTGTTAGGATCATGAAATCAATCAGTGGCAATTGAGCAAATTGAGCAGTTAGCTCCGAAGATGCCGTATGTATGGTCTGAGAAGTGTTCATCGTTCGTCTCGAGATGAGTCCAGATTGATTGATGTAGTGATTCCCACTCATCGCTGTTGTGCTGGATCAAAGGATCGCCTGAGGTTGATTAGACGTCGGACTAAGGTATGTCCCCAGTGTTTGGTATACCAATCTGGAGTATGGCCCCTGTCAGATAGAAAGCAGAAACAAGTACATGACCAAATGACAACAACTCAAATAGCACAGTGAAGCTCGATCCAGTCTATCAACCTTAAATCTTACTTTGTAAGCCACCCTTTTGTCACGGTGGTCATGGCGCTTTCTCTAAGGCTTCCACCAAGTGTGAGACAAGGGATTGTGCTGAAACTCTCAACAACCGACCTGAATTGTCTTATTTAGGCTAGGCTGTAGAAAAACCCGCACGGCATTCAGTCAACTCCATTTTTTGTCGTCAGCAGAGATCTTCAGTTACTGGGCTGTTAACAGACAACTGAGGTTTGTGGACGTGATGGGAATCCCATCCGAAACCAATTAATGTGAACCTCACAAATGAGATCTTTATGAATGCTTTTTGAACCCCTATCCATCTCGCCACCTTAATTGACACAGTTGATGTGCACGTGCGATTGGGACCTGGGGTAGAACGGTCACGAAAATGACAATTGGTCTGGGGACAGAAGCGATCAACACTCCCTGTCTTGTGCACCGTAGCCCAGACTGGGGTAGTGTTGTCAGACGAACCAGGGCAGGTAGTGTGTAGGGGACTAAGGCGCACGGGGGATGGCACTTATGTTGTTGGTAGTGACCGACCGGCAGGTGAGCCAGACACAGACGTGGGTGGCGGTGCCGATGAGCGACTTAATTGACAGGCACCCCAGAATAGCACATAGTTGTTATGGTGATCGAAAATGTACTAAACCATAAAAAAAACGGTAAAGTGTGCAGCTAGATCGGTCAGGTGCCGTAGCCAGACCGAAATAGAGGATTTTCCGTTTCAGCGCAAGTATCGTGGTTATGTTATTGATGAAACATACTACTCAGCGTTGATGAAGAGTCTGGTAAGCTTCAAGAAAATATACTGAGATATCTCGAATTTCGTACCAACCGAAATATGAGGCGACCTGTTTCCAGCATAGTCAGCTGAAGAGTATAATGAATGACTGATTCTATTGTGATTCTTTAGGGTGTCTTCTCACTAACAACTCAGTTTTTAAATGAGTGCATTTCGCCTATTGTGATTACGCGTAAAACACCGTTTCCGCTGCGCGATCGGTCAGAAGACCAGGTCACGTGATCTGAATCTACTTTGTTGAGGTCGGGCAACCATGACGTAGTGCAAGAAATAACTACAAGGTCAATCGTTTTTCGATTGAATCATTAGTGGCATTACGGAAGCTGCGAATGAAAAAAACGGGGTAAATAACACAGGCGGACGGATTCTACGGCTATTGTTGTTTGTCATCTTTTAATGTCTCTGACTCAGGTCCAATAGTCCTCATCATTATCATCGACAGTATGATATCAGTATTCAACACCGATGCTTCGCAGCCATACAACCATGATTTATGTGAAATACTTATTGTAAAGAAAAAAATAAAGGTGGACCGGGAAGGGACTTAGTACTAGATTACTACAATCATTTTGAGGTGTCTATACCACCAGACATTCACTCAATCAATCTGGATAGGAACTGATAACAAGAACGCTACTGACATCACTTGACAGCCATATCTTGTAGCGTCCCCAACCAGGTGCGGTGGAGATCACGCGGTCCTTATCTTGGAAGCACAGACAGCACCCAAACGTCTAGTAATCTCCTTCATACCACTCTGTCAGGTCAAGGAATGGCCACCTCTCTGCTTCCGCCACTCTGAATTGGGCATGGAAAACAGTACTCTCTTCGACAAACGATGGTTCGGCATACACAACACATGTCTCTACCAACGCGGATTCTGGTGCAGGACACATTCTACAATGGAAGTACCCTCTCCACAACCGAAAACTCGTTTTCTAATAATCTCTTTACGAATGCGGCAACACCAACCCACATGAGCTACGGTTCTGAGACGACGATTGTCGAGCACCTAAAGACGTCTCAGTTCCACTTCCCGAACAGGCCGAGTTCCACAGCCATACAAAAACAAACAGGTCCAGTAGTACTTGTCTTTGAATCTTTACGACTCAAAAGACGTTCAGACGGTTGCTCTTCTCATCATAGGTTAAAAAGCCGTAAAGTGTCTGGCCGCGTCGAAAGTATGATTGCTTTAGGTTCACGGAAGAGAATGGAAGCTGACACTCAACAAAGCAGAATCGAACTGAGTGGCCGATGATGGATACTGGCAGAATCAAGCATTTTGGGTTGTCTGGCCAAAAGTCCAAAAAAGTACAATTTCGTATTAACCGCTCATGACCGGCAGGTTAGATGTTCAGACTACTAGTCGGGAGATCGCGAGTTCGAATCAACTTGGAAATTCGTGAGGTGATGATTCCCAACACGGACGGAATACCTGTAAGAGTGCTTCTCATATTTTCAGCATAGACTGGTTTCAATTACAGAACCAAGTCACAATTTAAAAAAAAAACAAGATCTGTAACGCATCGAATAGGTCAGCCGGCTAGGGGAGCACATGACTTGTTGCATCACTACACTACTTAAATACCTAGTAAAGATTTCAAACCGTTTACTGCAACAGCTTCAGAAAATTTCCGGACACACTGGCATAGATAGTTGTAAAAAGCAGAGGTGAGATGAACCTGACGACTTGCGGCCACCGAATACTGTGGTGGTTTTCTCCGCAGGTCTACTCAGTATTTGGAACCACTCAGGCATGCACTCTTCGATTCTGGTGGTCTGTTCTCCCAATGTAACTTGCACCGCAGTTGAATGTGAATACGTGTAAGCCATGTGACTAGGTTCAAATAAGTCAATCTCCTTCGGTTGAGGACCCGTAGTTCTGTTGTAATGTATGACGAGGCTTCATCCCAGCTTCATTCTAGCACATCCGTTAAGTCCCGTGAATCGATGATAACCACTAACCCACCTCTGCGCACCTTTACGCTCCCCAATAACGTACTGATGATGTCACTGCGATTGGTGATTAGACGTTTGGAATCAAATTGCCCAGCTCAGCGAACAAGTCAACGACCATCGATGACCAAATTCGTCGGCCTTTTGGATCACCGGCCTCAGCACCGGGCAAACATCCATCATGCTAGTTTGTTGCAGTGAGCGTGGGTTCAGATTATCTCTTTCAAAATGCTGGATCGCCTGCCCCCTCCCCAATAGTTTGCAATCGGATATCTTCTCGCCACAAGCCATCACCTCATTCATCGTCAGCCGCCGTGCCATAAAATTAGGGTGCTCGAACAGAGCTGAGTACCACTCATGGTTCTTATTAACCGGAACGAAGCAGCTGCACCGTGTTGCGCGGAGACTAACATTGAAAGATGTTTAACACCACTGATATGAGGGTAACGGTTTTATTAACCATGGGATCATATAGTTCGGAACTGTAGTGAGACCGTCGCTGGTATGGTCAACACGTGGAAAAGACATTAACCAAGAAAGTGTACTTCGGCCGCTTAATACTCATATGCAAATGAAGGCTGGTAGCACTTTCATGCGGTGGTTTGAACGTACATCTCAGGTCGGGTGCTTCATTCAGCCTATCTGCTTCTACAGTTTTTTCAAGCCACACCCACGGTCACCTCGACAGCGGTTCTTATCCGCTTTCTCACTGTACCGCAGCCGTATTTCTCACGAGTGTGCGGATGCGGTAAGCTGATCACGGCAATCAATCAGAAGTGGTGACAACCGCACCTTACTAGGTTACGCGGGCCTTGGACAGTTTATGTTATCTGACGTTGACAAAGTTCATACATCTTTGGACGGCCGGTGAGTTTGAATTGGAACATGGCAAACCCGAGGTGCGGGATTTCTTCCGAGGACACAACAAAAACAAATCGGATCTACATCAACCATCAAATGGCAGAAACGCACCCGGGTCCGAAAATCTACTGAGGCAGTCAACAGGCCCACTTTGGCTTGTCCTAAAGACTATAATTTCAAATTTTAACTTGATTGACACCACCGGTCTTCAGGGAAAGGGCCAAGCGAGCTACATTACCAAGCAATCGATCCAAATCTCGACAAGATAGGTAACCCAGTGTCACATGCAAACAAGTGGTAAGTTGGTTGGCGAATAGTTTAAATTTGGAGAGAACTCACTTCAGGTCCACTCGTGAAAGCAGGTAGACGCGACATCCGTTAGTCTCGGGCTGAGGTCGCACATAGACGTGATCTTCATAAATATGGCCAATCGCTGTGTCGGTTGTGAGCACATTGTCGCCCCCAACTGATGAGACGGATTCACAAATTATGGCGCAACACCCATCCACCAAGGAGCTTTGTCGTCCTCGAAGAACGTGAAACTGGGTCACTGGTAAAGGGAATGTAACTGTATGGACGAACCGGCAGATATCAACACAGTCGGAAATCTGCTCGACTACCTGAACCTGTTGAATATCTGGGTCCCACGAAGTTCTGCCGATAACAAATGGAATAAAGCAGAGTATGCAGGTGGGTGATAAGTTGGATTAAACAGGTGATATTGTGGAAGAGCTCAATGGTACCTCTTTTGTGTGGGATCCAAAACAGACCAGCGAAACGGGTATAACAAACTGTTCAATCCTTTAGTAATAGTGAAACTATCCTGGACGACAATTAATGTTTTGATGTTTGAATTCATTTAAGTCCTAAAGAGAATTGATAATATAATGACCTACAATATCACGAAACGCATGAGTCGAAGTGAGCTTTTTTGGGAATGAAAAATCGGTCAGGTGTGAAAACAAGCAGGTACGGACGAGTTCTTACTTCGAGTCAATATGGGCAGGTTCGAATCACCTGGCTTGCGCGTCAGGTGTGCGCTCGAAATGATGCAACTTCGTTCTCAAAAACCCCATTAATCCTGAGTTGAAAAAACGGCCCAGGTGGTTAGAGCGCGAATTTACTGACCGGAAGGTTCGTGGTTCGAACCCGACCTCTGCCTCTCGGCTTCCCCTGTCTAGGCCTAGGAAACCTGTCAGTACCTCATCCCTCGCGCAACCTTCGGGTGGCATGGCAGTTAGGCACCGAAAGGGTGCTACAGCTGAGCAATATTTCAATCCTGAGTTTGGCGGGCATTTACTGCTATCATAATTACGATCAACACTTTCCGCTTCTAATCACAAGTCGGCCCTTTTTGGGAGAGCAGGAATAGCCGGGGGTAGCTGCACGACCGGACCAGTGTCGGGAGGGTTAGCCGCGTTTTAGGGAAGTCTGAACAAACGTTCACTCTTAAGTGACATACCCAGGTGTGCCATAGAACAATAAAGACTACTTTCCTCCCAGTACTCCTGCTGAATTTAAGTGTGAGGATATCTGGCGCTTCCTTGATGGTGGCATGATGCAGGCTCACTCCATTGGTACGCGACGGTCCCATACTACCGAGACAATCTATGGAACATCGCGTCCGGAGCTGACCGGTCGTTGAGTTTAAAGTTACGAATGAGGGTCCAATAATACACCAATAAAAATTGAGTCATCGAAAGTGAAATCAAGTGTGTATTCGGCTCTCGAGTTTAATTTGTTGTATCTAGTTTGTTCGAGTTTGACATCCGGCCGTCTCTCCGGCGTTTTGTCGGTAAAAAACCCATTAATCTGAAGAATATTCCGCCCCTCGACTGAGGAATAGGTACGGGGTCACATTCGGCTAAAATATTGATCGATGGGTCGACAGCCACACAACAAAGAACGTCATTTCCTCGAATGGACCAGAGCTACAAGGTCGCACTCAGCTCACACTATTTTTAACTGATGGTCTGCACGCATTGCACGCAATTAATAGATTTGCACTTTCCGTCAACTGGACCAAAGGCCATTTACGGCCGAGCAACATCTTTGACGTCTAGAGGCCTAAGAATGTCTGAATTAAAGGTGTCAGGCGCTAAGCACGCCGCCTGACTGAAGAAAAAAGCGAACAAAAGGGCGAAATTGATCGTAGGCTGTCGAAGGGTTTTCAACAGTCTTATGAGTAGTGTGTTACAGCTATTCATGTATCGCGATGTCTGGAATATCGTATCAACTGAAACATGATGCGGCGGCCTGCTGCAGCTTAAAACAAATAAATGAGAGATCCCACTGGGTTTCAGGCTACCCTCCCTTTAAAACTGTACTGGTACGCAAATGAGTGTACTTAGCTAATTTCGTGCAATTTGGGTTCAAGTAGATCGGGGACTACGGCTCCCTGATGAGCCCCAAGATGGGAGAAACCGATCGTGAGCTGTTGATGAGTTTTCAGCAACATCATGAGTAGTGTATTACGAACTCGTCCGTGTTTTTACTCGTCAACCGTGTGATTTTCTGTCCGTTTCATAGTCGTCGGTTCGAAAACCAGGATTATACCGGTCGTTGCCAGCCCTGGGCAATAGCGCATTGCCGCTTTGCAATTTGGTTTGGCGTGCTGGCCTGACTGTGATTAGTAAATGCGAGTTATCAGAAATTTGCATTTCATAGTAGAGAGCAAGTGTGTAGTGGAATTTTCAAGCTCAGTGGAAATGTTCCCTTCGAAAGGATGGATATGGTAAACTACCGTAGCGATATGTTACTTGCTTTTAGATAGTAGTTCAAAGAGCAACTCACCTTCGGCTCCAGTAATGGTCGAGAATTTTCTTCGGATTGCTTTCTGGAATGACTAGCGAACACCGCCATGTACGCAACTGAGGATCGTTCTGTACAGAAGCCAGTTCAGTTGGTTTTCTGAAGTAAATCTCCAGTCCATCCAATGATTCGCCTGCGCCCGAGCTGAACAGGAAATAAAAATAACTATCTTGAATCTTGTCCTCACGCATGATTTTTTCTACCCGAATGAACAATCCAAAGTCCCCATTAAACGTTGTTTCTGATAGTCAGGGAAAGTAATCAGAACGAAAGCTTTTTAACCGATTCATGATATTGATTTTGCGATAAAAATGCCTCCATAGCTAAAATTCAAGATAATAACTAGCACAAAAGTTCTGGTTTACTGCCAAACAAGGCTCAGTTTTCAGGGGATGGAACAAAAGGTATGAGAAATTGGGAGATCCACTTTTGAGAAATATTCCGGCTGCTCATATAAAAATAGTAATGGTTCATGAACATTCTGTTAGTCGGAATTTGACCCTTGATCAAGATTGGTCGGTTGTGCATTCAACCCTATTGATTAGTTGGCTGACTCGTGTTCCCATTGGTCAGCACCCAGACAACCTCTGAGCTTGACTTCTCCAATTCATAGGCGTAAGTTTCCGGAAGATTTGGTTGATGTCAGCTGTCTCTTTCTTAACTGTCCTGACAAATTTGAATGAATAGGCTGTCAAGAAACCACTCCCCGCAAACTGTGCTTTGACTAATTCTAAAATCCGCTCGGGCTTGTCGGGAATGATGGGTTGCCCGATGGAACCCATTTACAAACAATCTGTTTATTTATTCCTATTGTCCGAATAAGTTTCAAACCACGATTGTCACGTCATCCGGTCGACCATCGGTTGGAAGAGGTAAGCAGTCAGGTGTTCTGGCTTAGACACCAGGCTGTTGAACTAAATAACATTCTAATGAAGCGTGCTCACCACTTCGACGAACACAAGTGTTCACCATGCCGAAAAACTGAACTGCATCCTATTTCCCTCATCTCTGAATCCCAGTCGTGAATGATTAGTGTGGCTGCACTCCATGGAAACCGGCCATGGTGTGATGGTGATACTACCGATGGGGGAGGCATGCGAGTTTTTTCTTCTTGTTTTTCTTGTTTTCTTCTTGTAAATGTTTTCTTCTTGTAATGTTTTTCTTGTAATGTTTTCTTCTTGTAAGTTCGCTTTGTGTCTCTTGAAAAGGGAGATCTGTTGTGGAATTTGTGGAGCCGCTTTGTAGCATTTGCTTAGATTCGAGCAAAAGTCAATGAATATCCAGAAAAGTTCAGGAAGACGCGTTCAAGAGAAGATGGATATTCAGTTTTTGTAAGTAAGATGCAAATGAGAGTTTTGCTTCCCTGTCCAATAGTCTGTAACTGGTCAGTTGGTGTTTTCTGGTAAACAACTCCGCAGCGAAGGCCTTCTTCCTTTCAATGGTATCCTAACCATCTACGATTCCTGGGGAGGTAAACTAATTCCCGGTACCTCACCAGGTGATATTGTTTTTCTGGAATCTTCACGGTCATCTTTGAAGTTGCTGATCAGTTGACATTTGACTGATTGATCGATAGATAGTGGTCAATAAAATGACTAATTAATCAATAGTGTCTGAGCCAATTTGAAGCAACACCATAGATTTTACTCACCCAGACTGGTAGGATTTCCATGCCTCACGACTGAGTGCTGTCCATCCTTTGGGCTTTGGACTGGCACATTCACGACTGAGTCGTCCAAGTTCCGTCTGAATCCAAGTAGGCCAATCGCTACCCGGAATTATCAGGTCAAGGTCACGAGGTTCTAGATGGCTTGGAAAAAGATGAACTCGCCGAAGTATTTCTGTCGAAATCTGGACAAACAAGCAAGCAAACAAACAAACAAACGAATGATGAACGAAAAAAATGTTTTAAGAGCATCAACATGGAATCGGGTATTTGTGTCTCCTAAAGAAGATCTCGGGTAAAAATCAATTCATGGCCAAATCTCCTGATAAGCTTACTTCGAAAAGAGTTGGAGCATGGGTGATCATGGCAGACAAGCTGTGTTGGGCCGTTCTTTGGTCTGCCAAGTCTTTCGGGTCGGGCCCACTCTTGGTACGTCTAAGACGTCGGGGACTTAGACCAGCACTTGTGCTCGGAGGGCTGGATGAACTGGCGAATCGAAAAAGAGAGGGTGCAAAGCATACGGCCAGGTTGCTTGCGCCCATCTGAAAGACCAAACGACAAAACAAAACGATGTATGCTTGGGAGTCAACATTTGTGTCTTCAGTTTCGAAACATTCGACATGCTGAGGTCAGTATAATGCTGTTACCTTCTCAAAAAGTAACGCTTTCCTCAGGATATTATTGTAGAGGAATAGATCCTGAAAGAAACCACGCACGAAATATGACTACGGTCTCGAAGTCGCATGTCCAGTCTTTGAACAAATGAGTACATACAGAGTGGATTCTGGCAGGAGAGAGACACGCGAGTACGATTAGCGTCGCGGTATCGTGCGATCACGCACAAGCATTTCCGGTTATACCAGCTGTCCAGTGTTGTGACTGATTCGTTGTCGCTGGACGATTGGTTCCATTCATCACTGTTCAACATCCGAGCATCATTACAAGCGGTGGCTTATTACAAGCGTTTAGTTTGTGCAATTGCAGGATTCCCTCCCAGCGAACAGACACAGGGACTGTGTCTACGAAGTTAAGTGCAACGACTTAGCTAACTATAGGACAGACGGGCAAACGCAACCAAAAGTAATTTGAGACTCTCCCGACTCATCAACCGTAAGCTTTGGACAACCAAACTAACCGACAAGACCCTTTAATTGACATTTACCACTAATCTAGTATGCTAAGCTCAAGAGGCCCTACTGATCAATTCCCCGTCTGCCGTTGGCTAACTTGGTGACCTGTTTACTTGGCTTGATAAAGCTTTTGTGTAAAAAGCGAAATATTGGCCGTTAAAAACTACCGATTGTTTACCAAGCCCTCCTGAAATGATGAATTTTCGGTCGGCTCCCAACTTTTTCCAAATGATTGAAAACCCTGATGGTTAGTTTGCAGATTCGGACGGTTTTCGGTAGATAGTGTTACCGGGCGAGATGGACCAAGTGATTGGAGCGCGAATTTACTGACCGGAGGGTCCGTGGTTCGAACCCGACATCTGCCTCTCGACTTCCCCTGTGTAGGCTTGGGCAACCTTGCAGTATCCCAGCGCCTCCTTCCGTGTGGCATTCAGCTAGGCACCGGAAGGGTGCTACAGCTGAACGATTTTTTGCCGTCACTGAAGGCTCTACATCCCTCCTTCCACTAGACTGATGAACCTAACCTTGTTATCTAGGCTGTATTTGGTGTGCCACGTAGGAATCACCTTTTCAAACCCAGAAATTACATCAAAAGCTGATTATCCCCTTAATCGTATCTGTTTACAAAAGGTTATCAGTTACGGAGCCATGTGCAGGTTAGAATAAATCGGTTTCCAAATCACCGCGGCAATCTGCGGTGCGACTGCCGGGCTGATTTTGAGGGACAGTTAATGTTGACATCAGTGTTGTCACCGGATGGTACCAAGTGGAGGCACGAACTTTCCACACCTTCTTCGCTAACAATTCCTGCTAGACTAGCTAGAAATGCAGTGGTACTGTTAAGCCCTTCAGGATATATATTTCTCCAAGCCGATTATCGTTTCGCTGACGTTTGAATTCGGTCAACAGCTGCAATCCGGCAACTTGAAAGCTCAACTGTTTTATCGCCTTATCCAGCACTCCCTTTAAGACTGTATCAAGGTTCTGGCTCCTGTAACCTCATTCAGCTATATTTAGCGTTGATTTAACGTAAGGAGTTCGCGGTGAAATGCTGACGACTGCACAGATGCATGTGTCCCTACAATTCAAATAAAACTGAACAACCATCAGCAATATGCTGCAGAAAATTCCCCAATTGACATACGAGAAAGCCAGTGATGGTGCATTTGAAAATTTAAATCGGAATGCAATCCAATGGAATTGGTTTCGGAAAATCGAAGATCATCCTAGCAGTGGGAACACACAACTAAAGTGTGTTTGAAGGCCTCCGTCAATGTCACCTATAGTGTTAGACTGAATCACTTTGGGCCTAGAGTAAACGATGTGACAAGATTTCGCTAGAATTCTTTGTGGAAACGGAGAATGTTTCTTGGTTGTTGATCAGGTGGCTGCTGATCTGTACGCCGAGCTTGGCAATTGATTTGCAAACGTTTGGTCACCATTCGAGGAGACATCTTCAGTGCGCTGTTGGTTGGGTAGTTGTGCTTGTGTTAATAGTCTATAAAGAGCAGCCTTTGTGCTGTAACCTGGATTCCGATTGGCCCGTTCTTGATCTGTATGGCGTCGTGGTCGGCTTCTGTGTTGGTTTGCGGCGGGCCTTTTTCTCCTTCATGGGAAATAGGTGAGAGTTCACAGGGGGTCATAGGAATCACCTTGAATATGGGCATAAAGCGAAAAGCATTACAAATATACATGTATCGCGATATCTCGAATATCGTAGCGACTGAAACTTGGGGCAGCCCAGTGCAGCACATTCAGTTGCCTGGAAACATCACAAACGAGAGATTCAGCTGGGTTCCAGGTGCGTCTCTCGAACTACCAAATTAGTTCGCAAATGAGTGTATATTCGCTTATTTCGTGCAATTTGGTTTCAAGCAGGGCATAAAGTTGATGGAAACTCTGGGATTGCGTCTACCGGATGAGCCCCAACAAGGGCGAAACCGGTCGTGGGCTTTCGACGAATTTTCAGCAACCTTATGAGTAGTGCATTACAAATAAAGCGACTGACTTTTAAGCGATCAAACGGGATTTCACGCACCATGACTGACTAATGCACTCAGTTTCTTGACTGCTTCAGAATAAAGATCATCCCGTAAGAATAAATTCGGTGTTTTCACCTCTGAGTCGTCCAGATAACATACTTCATCATCACTGAGCAGGTTATTCCATTCTACATTACAAGTTCTTCTGTGTACTCAACTTTCTGATCTGTTTCCCTTGATGGTGGTTTTCAAACGTGGAGAACTGCATATCACAAGTTGACAAACCCGTTTCACATTCGGGGTTGTCTTACATACCTCAGCAACCAACTCTAGAGAATTTGGAATAATCTCCTGGCTTCCTCGAAACCCCATACAAGGTGACTGACCACAACACCATTCACCGATCAAGCGAACCATGTTGCCCTGCATGCGGTGTTCATTTCAGTCCTCTCGGAACACAAAATGGTGTTTAGGCGTTCCGTGTATTCTAAAAACTTTATTACTTCGGCGAACGTCTTCTTCAGTTATTGGGTGGAAATCTGAATATCTAGCGGGATGACTTCACATGCATGGTCCAAAAATTATTTTAGGAAAGGCACTACTTATAATTTACAGTAGTAGCATGAGACCATACGTGGTTAGCCTAAGTTTTGAGTTCTTCAGCCTCGGACTGACACCATTGAATGGACTGTGTCACTTGTGTCGAGGCTTCGATGAAACTCACATACTCTACACTCACCTGTGTGATATGTGCGTGTCGCACTAGACTGTGGAGAATGTACAAGAGCTTCTGCAGGACCGTACGGTTCTCATCTGGCATTCCAAGCAGAATCCAACGTAGCAGGTCCATTTGCGTATTGGCTGGTACACCTGTGGGATAGAACAGTACACAAGAGACTCATTCCAATTTGTCAAAAGTCGCTGATGTCATTTCCAGACTACCCAGTTCAGCAAACGGACCAACAGCCACACACTCCTCTGATGAGTTGAAGGTGGTTGCGGGATTTGTAAAGTTTACATTCGTATCACTCTCGTTTGGGCAGACCTCCTGTCCTGGGGCAACTGTTCTGGTGAGTTCACACCAGAAGAAGAAGCTCCGGACTCTTATTAGAGCTCATCAACAGTGCATATCCAATGGCCGTCCCTGGGTTTGAAGTCCCCGCATCTGACGTGCGAGGGAAGCATATTACCACTACTCCACTAGTGCACTCTGGACTCGTCCGAAATTTTACGTCTGACGAGTGAGCATGTTCGCGCTTAAGTGATGTGTGCGAAACGCCAGGCGCCTCGAACAACGACTCAGTAACTACACCTTGGTTATGTTCATCTGTTTGTTGATGCAACAAGCTTTCAAAGCACTGTAACCACCTTTACAAAATCAGTTCTTCGATGGGTAAGCCGGTAGAAGACGCTGGTTCACAATGCTTCGAACGTCTCACTCTTATCAGTGGGAGTCAAAGTATCGAAAAAAAACAAGTTCCCCTTGTCAGTTGAGTGGAAATTGTCCCGAGAGTTTGTCTACGCAAGCATGTACGCTTGTTACTAAGCTTTTTGTAAGAAAACACCATGAAGCTCATGCATAAAATCCAGTGGTTGAAATGCGTGCATTATGCGCGGATATATTTTGCGTAACGCCATGCTTCTTTTCCAGTAGCAAGCACTTTCATTGGTCTGACAAGTCCAGATTACAAGCCACCGGGGCCAATGACGAAAGCATTGGATAGGTTACTTATTCACCAACCGGGAAAGAACAGCCTGAGCACGCTGACCGGGTCTATCAAAACACCGTCCCTCGTACACACACACACACACACACGTCACTGTCATCAGCCATGAAGGCCACTCAACCCCATCATTTACCTCATTTGCTCTTCAGTCGTATTTACCCGGATTCTATGCCAATCGGGATGACAGGTCCTATGGCTTCAGTGCCACGATCCTAGGTGTGTGTGTGTGTGTGGAGGGGGAGAGTAAGGACGGGGAAATGATGGGCAGTTTTCGCCGGACAGTCGTCCGGAGAAATACCATCGCCGAAGCACATATCAACCGAAAGCTGATTTTGGTTGGCGGTCTGCATGTATTTTTTAACTGCTATCTCAATTTTCTTCTATGTATGCTTTATCTATTCTATTAAACTGTTGTGAGTCCCGTTCTACTGTACTTCATGTATGCGTGCACGTATGTACACCATCAAACAATCTGCCTAGGCACTGTACGTTCCGGGGTGTCGACCCTACAACGGTGCCAGAGATAATCCTCAGTGATCGCGATTGTGTAGGCCAAGATGAATGATGGCTATCATTAGCTATCCATGTGACGACGTACACTACCGCAGGAAGCGGAGAGTAATGCCTGATCAAAGCGGTCCAAAACATCAAACCCGCGGCTGATCGAAAGCCGACTGAGAGATTGCTGGGATGCTTGAGTGCGTCTTTCATTGAAGTCAAATATCCAAACCACCTCCAGGAAAGCTTACGAGTAGTCTTGTGAAAAACTGAGTTCCTCAAGTCCTACAAAAATGTGGTTTTTGTTTTGTAACCACTCTGTTCGTGTCTCGCAATAAACAACTCCGTGTCCAAACGCGTCCTTCCCTTCATCCACAGGTGTGACTAGAATGAGTCTTATGGATGCCGCGCGTCAGCAGACAGCTTTTTGCATGCACTAAGTATCAGCTACTCGGTTGTACCCACTTGAATTGACAGTTGCACGTCACCTGTTGGGCACGCTGATAGCATGAGTTTGCCCCTTCCTGTTTAATCTTCGGTTTTATTCCCTCGGCTTTACACCGGGCGTTCAGTTGTTTTCATGTGCGGCTCAGTGCCCACTACTCGTGGTATCTCCCGTTGTATACAGGGTTTTATCGGTGACAGGCCGTTCCGGAAACGAATGTTAGCCCGCCACATATATACATGTATAATGTATATATATATATATATAATGTATATGTATACGTATATATTTGCACGGTCATGAAGACAGGTAAGAGATGCCCTCAGACTACTGCGTGTAAGATAAGTTCGTGTGATCTTTCTGCGTAAACAAAGCAAGTGGAATTCCATAGAGGAAAATGTCAGTAGCTCAACCACTAACCCACCGCTACGCACAACTACGCTCCCCAATAACGTATTGATGATGTCACCTCGATTGGTGATGAAGCGTTTACAATCAAATTGCCCAGCTCAGTGAACAAGCCAACGACCAAAGCAAGCGGAAACTGGAGAAATGCAATAATTTGCAAATGAAATTGGTGTTAATGACAGACTGAACTGCTTAGGTTGCACTGAGATCGTTTCATGTTTCACTTGGTACAAGTCGGCTTGGTACGGTAAGTTTTCGTGACACCACGTACTAATAGGGACTACGTCAGCTTGAGCCCCAAGAAACACGTCACCGGTAGTGAACTGTCAAGCAATTTTCAGCAAGCCTATGAGTAGCGGGCTGCATCAAGAAAATACAGGTCACACTTTAACCCACCACCTAATGAAGAATTGCTGCTTCCAAAACATTTGACGGACAGCGGATCGACTCCCCACCTGAACGTGTTTTGACGGATTACCTTCTCATTGGAACTTTGTCTATTAGCTGCCACGTTATTGGTCTACGCGTAGCATCGACTAGTTTTTCGTTGTCCTTGGTTGACTGACATGTATATATTATTAGGGCGAGTTAACTTAGCTCTTGTTACCGGTTCGAACTCGCGCGCAGTAAAAGCTCACGGCGATCCATTCTCCCGCACCCACACAGATCATGCTACTCCATGCAGCATAGTCATTCGGTGATCCAGACATAGGAAACGTAAGGAGGGTCATTGAGATCGAAAATGATTGAGTACTATGTTTTTGTGTTAAACATTACGTTCCATTTAGCTTGGGGATTTTAAGAGAACCAGCTCCGAGCGTAATTGGACTACACGACTACCAATGGAATAGCCGTTTTCGTTGGGACATTTGATTGGTTGTGTTTCAATTGTCCTTGACAGATGAGTCCTATTTTTAGTATCAGTTTTGGCCTGCTTTGAACTTTCCACGCGAGCATTATAAGTAGCCAGTTTTCGGTTGCACATGACACGCCTGTACGCGTCAGTGTTCAATCGATCACCTGATTCGCACGTTCATTGGCCAAGCGGATCAGGCTGTCAAGCGGCTATTCAGACACGGGTTCACGGTATTAATGAGGCATTAGGAAAACTGTGGTCCACAATAAATTGGCGAGGGAGATGAGATGAAAAAAACCCATATGGTAAAGCTCCAACGGGCTTGCTAGTGTATCTTTGTCTGCAGACGGTCTTTAGGAGATTCTCACCTACGTTAACAAAAAACTGGCCCGATAGAATTTGGAGTCCAGAAACTTACTCCCATAAACACTGACAAGCAGGAGGGATAATTTGTCCGTCAGGAGGCATTCGGGAAGCTCACGGAAGAACTGTTTCAGCAAGTCGGCCACGTCATACGGTTGCCATTCCTCGAAGTCGTTCCAGTCTAAAATTTGCCGTAACACCAACGGGGTAGATTTTAGGGAGCGTGATTGACAATAAACGGATAGATACACATTTCGGTAGTGCATCATCTGGGGACAGCTATTTAAGAAGTCGAGCAAATAAGATGAACTTTTCACGTACTTCAAAAGTTCATTTGAATGTGAATCCTCCTGGAGGATGATCTCTAATGAGGGTGGACAAATGCACCTTCACATCAATGCTAGAGGGCCTAACTGGTTATGTATTAGTCGAAAAATCATGAAAAGTCCTGGTCAAAGATCGTTTTGAGCCCTCGCAGTTGCTTACAATTGTGGCGCCTGGAAACCCGGGGCTCATGTGGTTAGCTCCGATGACAGTTTGGACATAAGTTCACAACGTTTAGAGAACAGTAATGGATTGTAGCCCCACTGTGTGAAAAAATTAAGCAGTGCTACTAAAAGTAAAGTTTCCCCAGGAGCTGCAAATGAAAGACCTGTAATACCCGGTAAAAGAATTTTTCATAAGCTTTTACCAACTTCTCATAAGAACAACACACGGTTTGGTTGCTCGGCTCCTAGAGAATAGACAGCCACCTATTAAACATTATTGGTAAACCCGTTCACTATGGCACTTCAGGTCTATTGAAGGGATGGGGCGAGATTGCCCAAGTGGTTAGAGCGAGAATTTACTGACTGGAAGGTCCGTGGTTCGAACCCGACCTCCGCCTCTCGACTTCCCCTGTCTAAGTTTGGGCAACCTGGCAGTATCCCAGACCCGTGCTTCATTCAGGTGACACATACAGCTGAACAGCTATTGAAGGGATTTCATGCAGTGATCCGCGCCAGTGAAATTCGCCTGTCTAACCATAGTAATAAAATCCACAGATGTCATGGGACGGAAAGACTGGTCAAATACATCCAAATGAGCTATTGATCATCTTCGTCGTTGAGCACAGCCAGGTGCAACTTCTCACGCCCAACCCAGGTCGTTACAGCCTGAAGGAACGGGGAGAGATCGGTTCTGTCTAAGAACTATTGCTTAGAAGAATCATGCAAAAACGATGATAGGAAAAAATTTGTTTAACATCCGGATATTCTGGCATCAGTAGGCCCGAGTGTTCATCCTTATCAGAGGAGTACATATTTCGACAACGGAATTCAGGGATAGAGAGGACCGAATTTCGGTTTGTGTTGAAGGATGATATTGTCCAGCAGTAATGTCATTCGAATGGCAAAAGATGGGTGAAATACAAGCTATGAGTAGCACGTACACAAACGGTAGACTGACTGACCGACTGAAAACCAGCTGTACTGTTTTATGGTTCAGAAACCAGCGCTCCAATGGATTAGTCCCTTTGGATTGAACGTCTAAAAACCAAACACTGCGCGTTCCCAAACGCATCAAAGTTTCCGAGAAATAAACTCATTTGGAAATCAATTTGGTTTTCACGAGAGACTCAACTGGATCTCTCGTTCATGATATTCTACAACTGAATGTGCTGCACACAGGCCGCCTCATGATTCAGTTGGCACGATATTCGAGATGTCGCAGTATATTTTCATAAAGGGAACTACTCACACGGTGCAACACATTCAGTTATAGGATATCATAAACGAAAGATTCACTTGAGTCTCTCGTGAAAACCAAACTGATTATAAAATGAATGTATTTCTCGAAAACAGTCCAATTTGGTTTCAAGTAGGACATAAGGTTGACAGAATCTCGGAAACTGCGCCTACCTGATGAGCCCCAAGAAGGGCGAAACCGGTTGTGGGCTGTTGAAGAGTTTTCAGCAACTTTGTGAGTAGTTTCCTTTATGCATCAAAGTTCCATTTCGCATCCAAAGTTACTTAAATAAAGGTGAAGGATTCAGTATGAAAAAGTACATTGTTTAAACCCGTATCTATTCTTTCACAGCTCGCATGAACAGAAGTGAGGTCAAATCTAGCACGAAACTCCCATAGATCTCTTGGAAACTTACACAAGTTTTTTTCAAGCTCTTCACGCAAACCCTGTATTCGGTCCTTGCGACCCGGACGCCGGAATATTCCATGTGCAGTCGCTCCGACAGTCTCGATATGTTCCATCATGTTGATTATCGCCGGTGGTAGTGGATAGCCTGTTCGACGTTGCCAGCTTTCCAGAGACTGGCCAAACACTGGTCCAGTGTAGTTGATCCGCCTTTCAAGGCCAACGGTATTTGCAGCACGTTTGACCGGCAGTTTGTTGATCGTTGTCGCTGTTGTGACTTGTACTGGTCGCCCTATGTCTACTGGTTCCGCAGACTGTTCCGGAACTCGTATGCCTTGTACAGACTGGGCAGTGCTGTTCGGCACATTCTTAGGTGCGGGTTCAGGGGCGTTGCCCGGGCTTCGAGACTTTAACAGCCTCCTACAAAAGAGATTATTTGTAGATAAAGCATGTTTACAAAGAAGAGGCAAATTCAGCTATTCTTGCCAAAAACAAACGACTTAGTTAGACAATCGTCGGGGTGATTTGATGGTTTACTCGGGAACGCAGAAACATGTATATGGTGAAGATTTTGAAGAAATGAAGTTAGAAGTCACAGGAGATAGGTTAGCCTGCAAGTAAATCCGAAAATTTGATAAGCACTGTGCAGCTGATTCTCATCCTTGCTGGAAAATAGCTGTGCGCAGCTGTGAATCTTTTGGAAGATATGCAACCATGTTTAGCAAGTGAACATTACACCCCACGCCCGAGAGCGATGATTCGCCAGAGAGAAGGCTCTCCTTGTTAGGCTAATGGGTTTTTCTTCCTGAGAGAATTGTTTGTAGTGTTGCGATATTGAGAAGCTTCATAGGAGATCTCATCCGACGACAGAAACCTTCCTATGCTGTCAGGCTTAAAACCGCTGCATGGCTGTGTGAAATGATCGATCTTCCGAAACGAAAGTAGTAGGATGCGTTGCCTGGCTTGCTCACCGAGCTTAGCGGTTGGAGCGCAGAGGTTCCAATATCAATCGAAAAGATGTTATCAGTACGCAGTTGGGTGGTTAGTTCCTCCTCTTCTGCTTATGGCGATATGGTCTCTAACACTATCGAGGTGAATTCCGTATGAATTAATTAGTCCGTCTGGAAGTCTTGTAGTTTCGTTTTTGTGATTTATCCAATGCCTTTGTTTCGGAAGTTCCGTCCCCCTGTTCCAGCTGGTCCTCTTTTTTCTGTGCTGTGGTCTGTCTACGTTTCATTCGCCTGGTCGCCCAAAAAATCTTCCATGTTTAGATGTTTTCCTTTGACTGACTGGTTCAGTCGTTATCGTCATCCTGTCAGCACCCGGTTCAAGGCCTTATCATCAAATAGTTCCTTGGGTTTGTAGGGGCTGGCAGACTGAGTCAATGTCGCTGTGTGATTTTTCTGTCCAGTACGGTGCCTCGACAAGCTCAAGCTAATTTTTTTCTTCTATGGGGAAGTATCTGGAGATCACTCCAAAGGAACTGGTTCTTCTGTTTTTGTGAACCCAAACAAGTCATCCTCTAGCAAGCTTGCCTTCGTGTGTTCTCCTGGAAAGGTTTCTTCCAGACTGTCCGGTATAGATCATTGCAGACGAAAGAATCAAGTTGCGCGAAAGGCATTCTGCAACTAGCCAATTACGGAAGAGCCATTCGGTACGCTTTGGGAATTACACAAACTGAATCAGAGTAGAAAAAATACCCACGCGATCAGGCATCGAGGATGCCTCTTGGACTAGTGATACACTGATTGCAAGGTCCGCTGAACAAACTAAAAGGCAATCAGATACAACCACCTAATTACAGCGCCACGCCGCTTTCATCAATAGCTGATAATTTCACCCCGACTGATGACGAAACGTTTGCAATAATGAAGCTATTCAGCTCAGTGAACAATCTGACCGTCCGAACGTTATTACGTCCAAAGACAGTCCGGGATGTCCCAGGTTCGCATCTCTCCGAAGATACTTTGAGGTATACAGCGCTGACGGTTCTCAGAGGGGAAGAAAGAATTCTTCAGTGTTCTCCAGCATACACTACTTTGTATGCAAGAAGCACTCTGTACTTGGATTCAGAAGCCCCGAGTATCATTAATTCACCGAGTCCCAAAATATGAGCCGTTTGCTTCTAAAATTCTAATGCATTAGTGACTACTGTGTTTGATTCATGGAGGCAGTATGGGATTAAGTGCGCGAAATCAACAGCAAAAAACCTCGGCACCTTGAGCCGAGGAAACAAGCTTAGGCTTATTGGGGTCCTATTGAGATGTTCGTTCTTGTTCAATACATCACAACCCATAAACATAGCGACATAGCACATGGGGTAATACTACCGCCAGATGACAAAAAATGTAAACGCAGTTGAACCGCTATACCAAGAACGCTAACGGCCGGAAAGAGAGACATTGCGGATGGCGCTGTTAAACGAACCTCTTCCGTCGACTTGGGTGTAGTTTTTGTAACTCATCTACATCCATTATTTAATTTAAGAAAGCAAGTTAGACCTATCCAAGATACCCTAACCAAGGAGGCACTTCGGCTGATCCTAGGTGCTCGTTAGATTAATTATATATTACTCGCTGCATCTAAGTAGCTACATCAACACGTTAAATTTCTATTCGTTCTCGGGACGGATTCATAAGCGCTGTAAGAGGAAGGAAAGCAGGCAATATGGAGGGGAGCCCACTGTAGATAGGAAATAGATAGGAATCGGAAAGAAACTTGCTCATGCACAGCAGTGTGCGATTCCCGAAACCTTCAACCCACTCACACGTATCTGTTGTTGCACGGTTCATTGATAATCCTTTTCGAATAAAGGGTCAGCAATAAAGTAAATGAAAACCAAGATCACAGATTCATCTGACATGAGTAAGTTGTCTATACGATCAAGTGAACACTCAACCTTAATTCCGATGAAGTCCTAAGCAGATGGAATATTTGTGTCCCCCTGACACCACTGGCGTCTCGTTCGATTAGGCTAACAAGCTGCTTGGTTATGTTACGAAGGGCTACCAAGTCCCAATTTATCGGTATATGTGGGTACGCCTCAACGATAGAAACAGTGTACTGGGGTTGGGAACCGTTTGTTTGTGATACTTGTCTCCGTATCGTGGGCCGTTATCATTCTGAGCCAGCTTAAAGTTCTATGTACCCCATGAGTTTACGATAAAGATGACAAGGTCGCGCGTGTGCAAGCGGCGTGGCTACACTGGAATAAAACGCTGTTAACTTTTCCCATTCGCAAGTGCCTTTGAAATGAAATTTATAACCATTCGGTTTGCTTGGCACATTATTCAGCCCCGCCACAACTACACGTTATGTTTATTCACAGTCCTTTACATAACACGGATGAACCTATTAAAGCCATCCGTTTTTCATGATCTTCTCCTCTCCAATTTGACTTGGGAACAACACATTTTCAACAACTCCGAACCATCCATATGGCACTTGTGGTCGACACCGAACAATATTTTCTATAAGAAGATATGACCTGCTGACATGGCCCTAGGCCTCACGTTTGTTTCAATCAGCCAAATAGGTTTTGTCCTATTCGTGTATTTAAAACACCATAGACCTGGGAGCACTTGGTGGACATACCTGAGTTTCAGATGTAACTTGGGGGGGGGGGGTTGTTGTTGTATAATCAGGTGCTCCCCAACAACTTCCGTTTCGCATCGCCCCATACAGCGTCCACGAAGGCATCGACGCGGCATCCCTGTGGGCACACAGGGCCCCTGCCCATCACCGATAACGGGGATTCGTGTGCTATCCTATGGTTAATTCAAATGGACCCTTGTTTCACTCACGTCGGATGAGACTCATGATCAAGAGCAACTTGGAGGGTGGTCAGTATGATTGAATCCGTGGGTACCGTGCGCAGTCCAAGTGTGGCCTTAATAATGCCTCGCACACTCTCTGTACGCAGTACACTCTTTTGGGACTTGTTTGCATACGAAAGTGAAACTTATCACAAATTGAATGTGCAGAAAATCCGATGGAAACGGGAAACTTCCACAGTGTTTATGTGACAGCGGGTCCAGAGTATGCGCCACTATCCGGACCTCTTGTCCTGCCACCTAACTGAGCTTGGAAAATAAATTACGAGTATATGTTGGATCCGGATTCTAACCAGAAACCATATCACTTGGTGACACCCTACACCGTCCGTTCCTCTACACTGGCTTCGATGTGTTCCCATCTTTAATAACCTTGGTATGTCGATCCCCACATCACTAGCAATATTGTTCCTCTTCAAAAAAACGAAAGAGTGAACAATTACATCTTTATAAATGCAAATTAGCGGAACGGTATTGGTCATTATCAGCGATTGTCCTCGACCGACCTAATAGGTGAGGTTGTATGGTTGATACATTGTGTGCGCTGTCCTGAAGAGACAGGATCTTACAGAGGTGGACGGTTTGTGCCCCTGCATAACCCACTCAGCCGTACTGGATGTAGCGTACTTGTGACGTCCACACAGGCTTTCAAACCAGGTTGGTCAATGGGCGGAGTTCTCCTGGTCCTCCGGGGTGGGGGTTGGAACTGCCGGTGTGATGACCTTACCTCAACCACCGATGCCTCGTGGTTAGACTTTTGGGCCAAAGGCTTTCACTGAGGGCTCCATTCGTCCGGCTGTCTACATATGGGCGCCCTAGCAGTATCCCAACCCACGTACAACCATGAAGTGTACATTTACAGATAGTCTCATGCCCCAACGACCGTTGATTTGTGCAGTAATGGTCGCCTCTGTCAAAAGCGTGATTCCGCTGCTGAATTAGGCCGATGGACAACAGAGTTCAAGTACACACATGGCATAGGAAGTGTTACCTACCCTTCCATTTTCTATCCGTTTTATGGAACCACGGACTTACCGCCCTTTTCTCTGTTTCGGATTCGACATTTGCCGATAACCGACTGCCACCGTGTGAAATGAACGGCTGGACAGCACAGGAACGGAGGCTGCTTAATGCGGTCGATTGGGTGGAACGAGTGAATCCGGCATGTGATGACTGCACAGTACTTTGTCACAAAAACCCTTCCGCAGTATAGTGTACCTCATAAAATGGCATAGAAGCGAGCAAATCCAAACAGTACAACTTGATAGTTGAGCCATGTAAAAGAAAGACGTAACTCGAAGTTACCGAAACGCACTCAATTGCAAATTGACTCGGTAGCCTCAACTGAATCCCAGCAAACTTATGAGCAATACTCTCAAGCAAACTTTGGGGTAAAATTGCTACAAACAGTACACTGGAACCTGTTATGTTCCGGAATGAAAACGAGCTCGAACGGAAACCCGTCGTGCGAAAATCTTACTGGTTGGCTAGAGAGAACTTAGGGATGGGAGGGGACTAGCCGTGACCCTTCATCAAACCGTATACGAAAAAAAGGTCTAAAAGTCGTTCAGAAATGCTTTAACTACGTTTCAGTCATCCTTCAACTAACTCTGCATATCATCACATTCGTTCCAAACGCTGCACTAGGCAGTTTGACATTAAAAACAATTCGATCTGAAAGCGTCAAAAGGTCACCTGATTCGAACGTAAATCATTCAATATATGAATAAATCGACATACGAGTAAACGGTGTGCATAATTTCGTATCAGATCGTGGTGAGAAGGATTTATATGTACTCTTGTGAGTTTTGTAAATATTGCTGATATACTACTGATGTGCTACTCAAGTGTGTACAAAACATTCGCTAGTACGAAATGAACATATCAAGGCCAGGTGGTATGAAAAAAATCCTCATAGAAAACCAGGAATGAGAACACAGACTGAAGTGCTATCGAAGATGGTGCGTGTATGTATGATATATGTTGTTGGTGCAATCGACAAGTGAATGTAGTTAAATTATTCTAGGAAATCGGCAGCGAGGCTATCGAAAAACCTAGGTACGACTATAGACTCAATGGGTAGGGCAGCCAAGAGCGGGGTGAACCGGAAAACTCAGCGAAAACGAGAAGATTCAACAAAACACTGTAATGCGATAGATTTGATACTTCCCCGTAAAAATGGAAGGGTTTGGGGCTTCCTAAACCGGTCAGCACCAATATGTCGATCAGCCTGATCACGGAAAACATGACACCGTAACAGATCACAGTTATGACTTTCCCGAATCGAAGAACTCGTGCGAAGAACAGTTAGCTTACGGCAGCAACTATCCCAAATAACTAAGGCTTATTTGATTGACCTTACTGGTGAATCAGGTGAAAAAGGCTTACTTAAACTCAGCTTCAATTTGGGATTCTGGATGCAGGATTGTCAACTGTCAGTGGATATTCAGTCACACTTAAGTAAAGAATAGCAGTAACAACGAAATTCCGGTGGACCGTAGAGGCAATCTGCCATCACCTCTCAGGAAGGTCGAACTGTGTACCAAACGCTAGGAAAGTCCCCAGAAAACGGTCAGTTGCAAAGAATTTTCCCATATAAATAACCCATCAGAGTGAGGCTTTTGTCAAGATCTAGTTTGGAACAAAATATCAGCGATTGTATGATAGAAAAGTGGAAAATTCAGTGTATAAGAAGCTCAAAATAGAAGAAAATGGGAGATTGGTTGTGTCGTCAAACATTCAAATGTCGCGCGGACTCTATTTGGACAAAGTATGAGGATGAGGCAAAGGGTTTTAATAGCTGCAGACAACAGCTAGAAGCTGATAGACTGCAATCAACCGTGAGACTGGAGAGTCTGCCTGTTATCCGCATTGTCTGGTCAAGGTGCCATTCGACAGTACATGAGTTGGGACACATAAATAACCCCTGTCAGTGGATAAGCATTGTACCCGCGCAATGTATCCGACAATGAGGCTTTTGTCTTAATCCTGCTTACAGAATAATATGAAGTGGGTTGTACGCATAACCACCACTTGCGAATCTTGTGACAAAACTGGTGAAAATAAGTTGCCAAATCAATTTGTGAGAAGGCACAAGAACTGAATGACCCGTTGCGCAAGCAGCTAATAAGAATGATAAAGCCTGTAGTCATCAATTCATCGATTGACACTTTTAATGGAATCATATCTTTGATCCATACCTGCTAGTTACTCATAAGCAATCTGAATGTCAGTACGAGCTGGGCACCGATCAGCCACGCTCTGGAATGAACCACATTATCAACACTTATATGTAGATCGATTAATAGTTATGCACGGATTCGCACCACATGTTCGTACCCAAACAGCACAAAGAATAATCGACTTTGTGACATATACGAAGCATGCAGTGCCCCAAACTGCGGTACAAGCATTTTATTGATATTTACGCTGAAGTCGATTGGCTACTCTTATGAGTGTACATAGACTGCACCTTGCAGCACGGTGATTGGCCGCGATTTATCCGAAGTTTTATTGGACAGCACAGCAAACCGGAAACAGATGCAGACGCACGATAAAAAAAAAGTGGGTAGTACAATTACAATGGATTATCTACATAGGTGGGAATACACAGACATGCAAGTGAACAGCTGTCCCATCACCACAGGCCCGTTATGCCTAGATGGCGATAATAATCAAAGAGAACCTACAGTAGAAGGATAGCAAAAAAAAACTAATTAAATCAATCTACCTGGATGATATGCAGCTGCTGTGTGAACAAGAAAAAAGAAAGGATAGAAATTGTAAGAAAAATAAGTTGCAAAACATACAGATAGCATTTCGTGGGTTACATGGGGTATTCAATCCCTAAATGAGCTCGAGATAATTTAGCTGTTTAGGCGCAAGCTTACTGATCGAAAGATCCGTGGTTCGAACCCAACCTATGCACCTTGACTGCTCTTTTCTAGGCTTGTGCAACCTGGCAGTATAGCAGCCCTCGTGCTTCCTTCGGGTGACATGGCAGATAGACACCGAAAGAGTGTTAGAGCTGAACGATTTCATTTCATTTCAATCCTTAAATTCATTCTTTACCGAAGAAACCGTTAGGACTCGTCTGGGTGCCAAGAGGAAAAGGTACGGATACGCTCCTCTACCATGAAGATACAATTTCGAAAAACACTAAAGTGTTTTTTCAATGGGGTGTTACTTTTAGCAAAGGCAGACAATCAAAATAGCCTCTGAAGGTGTTGACTCTTGCATGAAGAATTTGGATGCGTTGAACAGTGTTCGTCATGGTGGGCTGAAATGTTTGATCCTGACTGGAGTGAACGTTCAGATACCCGATGGCGCTTATGTCTGTGTGTGAGTGTCACAGTGCGCCAACGTGATGATCCGTCAGTTGCAGTCACCTGAGTTATCACCAAAGTGTACGAGTTATCGATTTATAATTCAGAAAGGACTACGTAGGTCCACATGTCTGAGGAAAACTTAATCAAATATATAGCTGTTTCAAGTGTTCATGCGCTGCTTGGTTGCTCAACTGCTTCGGACCCGCATCACAAGCGAGCCATCAACTTCACACTGTGACCAAACTAAACACAGCCAAGCCCAGTCCGGCTAAAAGGAGTCCGTTAATATGGTGCGATAATAAAGCAATGGTAAACATTTTCGTTTTCGCGTGACTGACAAATCTAGACCCATGAAAACGGCCGTTACCCTTTTTGTGTCTGCTGTTTTCAGCGTAACTAGGCTAGTTCACGAACCCATAAGTACTATCGTTTGTAAAGGAAACCAATCATTAGGTTTCTGAAAACTCTTCGACAACCCACAACCAGTTTCGCCCTTCTTGGGGCTCATCAGGCAGACGCAGCCCTCGAGTTTCTGCCAACCTAACGTTCCACTTGAGCCCAGATTGGACTGATTTTGACGAACACACTCATTTTCATATGTATTTGTCAGAATCGGTTCAATTTCGGTTCAAGTAGAACACAAGGTTTACAGAAACTCGGAGACTGCGCCTACCTGATGAGCCCCAAGAAGGATGAAACCAGTCGTGGGTTGTCGAAGAGTTTTCAGCAACTTTGTGGGTAGTTCTTTCTGTGATAATTTATGGCGATAGCTTGAATATCGTGCCAACTGAAACATGAGGTGTCCTTTGTGCACCACATTCAGTAGAAGAATAGCATAAGTCTCAAGTGAATTACTATCGAATTACAATCGTTTGTGTCGCATGAATATCATTCAATCAAGCACAGATATGTGGTCAACGGGGTGTGAATTCAATCCAGATCAAGCAGTCCTTGGCAATTACACGAAGATTTTGTCTTCAAAATTGGCTGTAATCTTTCACATGTACATATAAACGCCTAAAACAGTTGCTGCGGGCTATCGACAGGAAATATGTGTAAACAGGATACCCAACGCAACGAGGTTTAGCTTCCGGTGTACAATGGAACTGTGGACATAATAGCATCATGGGAACGATGTAAATAACAGAAAAATTACTGGCAATATGTACATATATTTCACCATCCTCCTCAAGATAAATTTTAGTGGCCAAAGTTTGATATGCGGCTGGCTAGCAGAGGGTACGAGCGACCTGGAGACCAAGATTGCTTCAATATAAAGTAATAACTCTTAAGCTTGAGGTTCAGTTGCGATTCCACCCCAACTATGTCCCAACCTCAGCACTCACTTCAGTATACACATCACCTGTTTGCCGACCCCAGGAGATATCTTGCACGCTCCGAAGTAAACGTCACATGTATTCAGCTTATAGTTTCTGAACCGAGGTATATGTCTCCACAAGTGCATTTCAGTTGCACGACAGAGATATAGCCCTGGGATTTTGGCCCACTTAACGTCCAGGGGTGCTTTGATGGGGACTGTCTATTCACATTCGAAATGGGAAGATGTAGTAGGCTGCGAGAAGCAATTCAGATGATACAGGAGGAATGGTTTCAGGAACAGCTCAAGGAATTTACAACCATCCAGGAAGAAAGAATGTGGGGAAAAATCATAATCAAAGTATGAATGATCTCAATTCTGATCCATTTGTTTTATATGTTTAATAACGTACGGACTATGTATCCATGAGGAGCTGCAAATAGTTAGGTTATGTTTTTAGTGTCTTTTGGTTAAACGGGTGATGCAGCAAGAGCAAAGGAGCCAGAAATCAAAATGGAGAAACAAAGAGCAACTCAAACGTCAAATCATGTAGTTTTTTAATGAATACCCCTGCCCCCGTTTTGATTGGAAGGGGTTTAAACCATACTAAACCCATACTAAACGAACCTTCCAAAAGTGATAACGCAGAGACAACACTTACTTGGTAGCGGAACAGACAAGAACAGACTGAATTAAATTTATAAAAACAACTTATAAAGTAGTGAGTCACACTTACCAGTTAAACAGGGAACGGCTACCACAATACTTCTCCACCAACGATGTCAGCTGAACGAGTGCCAGCTTGCGCAGAAGAGCCAATTGATGGGCATTCAGTTGCCAGAGGGATATGCGCTCCGCACCTTCGGAATCAAACCAAAATCCAGAATCTAGTTGTGTGGTCGGTGGTGATGATTCGTCTGTCGTGTTAGTTGTCGGTTCGGTGGATACAATGGGTTGCCGCTTTCCGGCTTGTGTCAGGCGATCAACACTGCCAGACTCCACCAAATTGGACGGTGTTTTCTCAATCCGAATTCTCGGTTGAGGCCGAATAGAACTGTCGTATTTACGCGATTCCTTTGTGCCTGTACGAGCACCGCTGGACCACCGGAAAGGATGATATCGGCTTATTCGTCTGATTATATCGGACTTACGGTCGTCCTCTATGTCGACACTGAATGGTATAGAAGGAAAGATACTTTTACACTACTAACCAAGTGTCAGTAGTCAAACACACGGCATTTCACGAGAATAGGATGTCGGATTGTGCAGTGCTTCAGCAAGCTTACCTAGGTTCTGAAAGTCGGGGTTGATTGGGTGTTGTGACTAACACCTCCGGTGTATCTTTTATTTCTATTCGTGGCGTCGTAAGCTGGGGATGCTGGTATGCGAATTCCAAATGAATCAAGTCAGTGATTTGTTGGCGAAGTTGCTCATCCAGTCTTTCGTGAGATGGAGCCAAAGTGGATGAAGACGATCGTCTAGCCATAGAGCCTGGGTCACTAGAACCACTAGAAATCGGCCGAATTCCAACAGAAGTAGGGTACGGTTGGTGGCCGTTGGGCATTCTTTCGCTGGAGGACAAGAACACTCGGCTGGGTTTGAGGGACGTGGAACGGGTTGGGGTGGCTAAAGGTAAGATCAAGGTTAATCCGTGGTCAGCCGGGATAGCAAGCGAGGCTTATAAAGAAACTACTGAGTTGACAAGTTCGTTCTTCTGTTTTCATCATTAGATAAAATGCCACTTCAATGTGAATAATACACAGACTTCGCACTCTAGAATAGTTTTAAAAAAAGGGAAACAGAATTAGTTGTGTAAGAGACCACATCCAGAGCTGAAAGTCCACCATCGTTGACGGAACGAACGTGAGTTACACTTGATTATCAGTTAGACTGTAGCTATGACAAAAGAGGGCTAAAAATTCTGCGCATTACAGTCATTACAGTCGACGGTGAAGAAAACAGGGAAAAAGTAGAAAACTAATCAAATCAACGAAGAATTCAGTGTTCACATTTCTGATGCATGACCAATCATACTGCTAGTATTTCTCTTGTTGTAAAACACTGGGGTGATGTGGACTCACGAGAGCTCAGCTAATGACTCCAAGAGATCAGGAGAACTCGTCATGCCGCCGTTCACTGATTAGTACTCATCACCAGGTTCAGACGTTCTTCTCGTGGCACAGACAGAACATTCGCGTGAGAGTAGGACAGAAAGTGCAATCAAAGAACAAAGGAAATATGACTACACCGGTCGATTTGCATTAACCCACTGTGGATGAGTAGTACTCACGTGTACTTAATGGACTAGGCGCTGTTACCGATGAGGAAGTCCTTCAGAACACAACAGTTACAAGGAGTACACCAATGGCCAGACGAAGGTGCATATATTACACAACCGAAAGAGACCAGTGCACTTTTGGACACATTGTACCGGTTCATACTATAAGCATCAACAAGTGTATGTTCATATCCCTGCACAGAGTGTACCTGTGTCAAATCACACAGACGGTGAGCATGCATTCGCGGATCTAGCCAAATTAAAAGACTAGCGTGAATGTGAGTGCTTTCTCAATGGTGCAATTCTGGTTAGCAATGGGGATGCGCGCTTGATTTTATGATTGTTAAAATAGACATACTCGTTCTCAACGTTTGTTCGGCCACAGGCGGATCTAATCTCTTCGGCATTTAGGTGTCACCTGATCTATTGATACCCACTGCCGATGCAGTGACGTGTGCGCTTCACTTAAATAATAACAGTAAACAGAAAAGTGTATTGCATTGTTTGAACTTCAAACAGACAGCTGGACGAGTTTGTTGATCGACCAGTTGATCTCGTGATCACTGTTCTTTAAATGGGCTTTTCTTAACCAGCGTCACCGATATTCGGTCATCAGAAAACTTCCCTTGTAAACACGGTTACGATCGAATCCCGCTGGATAGTCTTCGGGAGATGTTCTGGAGGATATCGTTAGTTCATGTTTCCCAAATTTGTCGAGCCATCCTAGTTAAGCATGCTGAAGTTCTTGGGGGTCACCGCCGCGGAGTTGCATCGTCTTGCCGGGGTGAAACGGTTTCCTTACCTCACCCATCCACTGAACTTTACCGGAGTATGCCCATATTGGATCTAGGCATTCTCTCCTGAAACAGTTTGCTGGCTGTCCACATTTGGGTCTGGAACAGGTGAAAGGTGGCCGTTGCCAATCACTGCCAACTTGTGGCTTGGATTTTGATCCACAGGCATCAGTCAGGAATCGTTTTCGTCCTCCTGCCTGGATTTTAATGCCACAGCTGTATTGCAGGCCGCTTACAGCCACCACAACCATGTAAGCCATCAGTAGTAACCACAGGTTCTGGTATGTGGTTAAACTACGTATGAACATTCCACCTCTTAAAAAATTCACCTGTTTCACATCTATATTCCCAATTTTCAAAACGTGGCAGTACGTATACAGTGGTGTAATCTTTCGACGCGATGAAACCATTGAACGACGAAATCCACGTCTCTATGCAGGTACAGGAGCGTGGGGCTGGCAAACTGCCCAGGGGAAAAAGACGATCTAATTGGATGGCCGGGAAAGTATATGTGGAAAAGCGATATGGTGAAATTGCTGATATCTTGAGTTCGCCGCCTCCACGGCAGCGATATCCAATGGTACCTACTCGGTTTTCGTGGGTTTAGGAACTGGTCTCTTAATTTATGGGAATCAAAGTAACAAATTCGAGATAGATTAAATAACTTTCCTAATTCCCCCGAGAAGCGGCTTCGGCTCAAGATTATTCATCTTCGGAGTTTCCAGTGTATCAGGGAATTTCTCGCTATGGTCATTTAAATTAGCCGCGTTGATGGCTGCCGTATTCTTGAGCGAGGGCACAAGATTGACCAGTAATGGCACACAAGGGCAAGGTATGTAGTCAACATCAGGGATAACGTCTTCAGTGTGAGACCGTCACATTTCTGTGATAAACGTAGGACGACTCAGCCTCAACAGAACAGTTCTGTTTCAGGGTATTCTCTCCCTCTCTCTTCTGTGAACGAAACTGGGAAACTGGAAACTGGGAATAATGTACAGTTGGTACACTGTCTCTAGCCGATAAAGGCACCAGACAGTACGGCTATTTGTCTTCAGAAGTTTACCTTGGTTTAGTCCTGGAGAGGTAATCTCCCAGAAGAGACCCTGAAGAGTGATCTCTTCAGAGAGTGACAACTGTATCGACAGATAGGATAGCCTACCGATGATCCGTTCAGACAAGAATGCAGATGATTTACCACCCTAAAAAGTCACTTTTCATCCAAGCAGTCAAACCACAATTTTCACACGCTTCCTAAAAGCCCAGTCACGTACAATCCTTGATCGTTATTTACATAAAAGCACTTTTGTTCTCATGCCGTCAGCGGATACGGAAAGGTCATCACCTCAATAAAGGTCATCACCTCAATAAAGGTCAAGCCGTGTTTACCCATATAACTTCAAAAATAACAGTGTTGTTATCTACACCAGCGAGGCGTTCCAGTGCAAATGGTTTGTGTACACACGCACGCGCGCGCACACCGCAACATGGCAATTCCCAGGGTGTCTGTGCCCGAAAGCAACACTGGCCTTAGCTATCAGCAGCTGTGACGCAATATGACGGACAAAACACCTGGCCTCTGCGTTCGTAAGATAAAAGGGACATCCGCACATCCCTGAGAGGAATACAAACAATCTAAATGAAAGGTGGAAGCACCGGTTAGACAAATATGGAAATTCTCATCAAATAAGAGCGCAGGCAAATTCGAATTTGCGAATTGTTTACGAGTACAACTCTCCGCTGGGATGTGGACTGCGTCCTCATTCAAAGTATGAAATTTTGGACAACCGTTAAATTTACAAGTTCCGTTTGAAAGGAGAAATATACCAGGTTAATTGTGATTTAGGTTTAATATTCACTGGTCAGCAGGGGGAATACTCCCATCAATGGAACAGACTCGGACTAATTTTGCCTATCGATCGACCAGTAACCAATAACAAACGACCATAGGTCTGGTCAACTTCTTTTGAGCCACATGCAGGCTTGGGTGGAAAGTGTTAGGAACGAAGTCCTGGGTCAGCCGGGTTAGGATTCGACGCTGTTCAATCTTCAGAAACAGGCGCACAAACCTCGTCACACCATTGTCATCCGCGAAGTTGGTCAAACCATGGCGCACCGGTATTGAACAGAAATAAGTGAACAATTCTATTTCTTTCGAATAGGGTTGTTTAATTCCACCATATGTGAGTCGTTTCGCATCTCTTATGTATCCAGATCGCTCACTGCACAGAAACCCACCGAGAGACAACCCATCGCATGACAGCGACTCCTGGGAAAAACACGCCGCCATGAAAGTAAAAATACCTGACTCCCCTGTGGTAGTATCTGTTATCCCAAATTTTTTCATCATCAGCATTCTTCAGATTTGTCACAGTATTCCCACATCAGACAAAGAAGGACGTGTTTTCCTGTCTTTTCAAAAAAAAAAGATTCATGTCTTCTTTGCTCGCAACTGACTATGCGTCTACCAATCGTTCATTCACTGCACGACTTCGGCGTACTGCGGCTTCTTCTACACTGTCCTGCCGAACTCATCCTGTTTGCTAACTTAACGAAGAACAATAAGCGTTCAGTTGTAGCACCCTTTCGGTGCCTAGCTGCCATGCCACCCGAAGGAAGCACGAGGGCTGGGATACTGCCAGGTCGCCCAAGCCTAGACAGGGGAAGTAGAGGCACAGGTAGGGTTCGAACCACGGACCTTCTGGTCAGTAAATTCGCACTCTAACCACTGAGCCACCTCGCTTGTTTCATCAAAGTTAAACGTCGGACCCCAACCACCGTCTCACCTTGGAAAAGCGTAAAATAGCCCGAGTGAAGCCGCAAACTGCAAGAACATATTCGGACCCACATACTCTGAAATACGGTTATTTAAAAAGCTGCAAAAAATCAGTGTTTTCCCAACTTCCCAAGAATAGTTGCATATTTTGAGTGGGCTAGTCCCCGAAAACTTGTCGCAACCACTACTTTTTTACCTAGTAAAATGGCTACGATCCTCGAACAACGGCAAAGTGACTTACGAACCGGGGCTCGATCGATCAAACCCACGGCTTAAATACAGGAAATTGTGTAACCAAATATAGCAAACTGGAAAGCAAAAATGGCACAAAAAGTAACTGATACTGGAGACTATTCATGACAAAAATGCGGCAGACTGTTGCAGTAAAATGCAAACCAAGCGTCGTGCAGGATGATATCAAAGCATGCTCAGAAGCACAGGCGAGAAGATTCATGCTGCGTTTGCAGTGAGATATTGGGGAGCAGCCGCGTATGTCAGCTGGTTAACAGTCGTCGACCGGAAAAGAGCACAAGACTGGTGTTCCGGAAACTAGGTGGTGTAAGGGTGCGGGGGAACTAATAGTTAGTGTAATGGAGCGTTTCCCAACTACTGCAGCGAAATTGCCCTTTCTTCAGATCCATACAACTAAGTTACCCCAGCTTACGTAGAAATCGCACGACGCCGATTGGTTTGGTCATGGTCACACACACTGGGTTCTGATTGGCTGCTCGCTCGTGAGCCTTCAGTTCACACACAACCACTGCCACAATAGGAACAATGC